CTCTGTAGGCTAGATGCCCAAGATCAAGGTGTTGGCAGCTTGATTCCCTTTCGGAGGCTCTGAGGAGAATCTGGTCTAGGTCTCTCCCCATCTTCTGGTGGTTCCAGCAATCCTCGGAACTCTTCGTCTTGTAGATGCCTTGCTCCAGTCCCTGCCTCTACCTTCACATAGTGTTGACTCTGTCTCTGTGAGTCTGAATTTCCCTCTTCTTACAAGGACACCAGGCACTGCATCAGGGCCCAACATAATTCAGTCTGATCTCATTCTAATGCAATTATATCTGCAAACACCCTATTTCCAAATAAGGTCTCATTTACAGGTTCCAGGGGAACATGAATGTTGGAAAGACACTATTCAACCCAGTACAGGGGGTAAAAAAAAAAGGATAGTAATTGCCTGAGAGAAAACATGTTAAAAATACAGGTATTTATTCTGACCTCCCTGAGATTTTGATTCAGTTGATTGAAAAAAGGGATGGTCCCAAAAACTTGCATTTAGCAAGAATCTGGGTGCCTCTGCATGCTGGCAGACAGCACTATTTTAGGACAGATAAATGGGAAGTACTCCACTAGAGGTACCAGCACCAGGCCACAGGGGTGCAGGGTACAGAGAAGGCTGCAAGGAAGAGGGGGCTCCTGAGAAGTGACTCAAGGTCGGAGAAGGTCACCAGGCCAGGTGATGGGGGTTTGCAGCAGCAGATCACAGAGCTCAGCTCTAAAGGACCCCAGGTATGGAGTGGGGAAGAAGAAGGGAGGAAAGGCCAGGGTTTTGGGTTTCTTCCTGTGTTTCTTTCTTTGGTCTGGGAGGAGCACGAAGAGCTTGTTTTTACATGAAATCACTAATGAGTATGAATTGACTTGACAACACTCAGTGCATGGCTTACATATGATGCTGAGTGTGCTCACCAGGGTTGGTGAGACATTCAGTATTAGTCATTACTGGCAAACACATCTCCCTCCCTAGGAGCCTGAAGGGTCGTACACAAGGCAGAAAACTTAGCAAAAGTCTTTGCTACTCGGTCCATCAGGGCTGCCTTGAAGATGCCTATCATTCAGCTGCGCTGAAATCCACTTACAGCATCATGCCCTGCACCCCATGTGGTCACAGAAAACCTGGCTGCCGTTTGCAAAGCTGGAGCTCAGTGTTCAGATCCCTTGCATCTGCAAGCCACCCCGATCAGGGACCTGCCACCTCCCAGGGCTAGGTGAGGGCAGGGTGCAAGTGTCTGCTTTCAATCCTTGGGAATCCAACTGCATTCCCCATAGGCCACTGACTCACTTTCTCTACTGTCCCTTCCCTCCCTACCTTTTGCAAGTCCTCCTCCTCCCTGTTGGAAAATCATGTTTAGAAACCCAGTGAGCCCAAACCTGTTGAGTCCCCCTTAAAGTGAGAGAAATGCCAGCACTACAGGACACAGGGCCAGCTGCTCTGTGAGGGGAGTGAGGAGGAAGCAACAGAAAATAAACACAATGACTTTCCTAATTAGTGTATCCTGACATGTATGCTCATGTTAGGACTTTATCTTGTGTTTGGATGCAAACATGTACTAATTTTCCTTTGTGCTGAATGATACAAGGTGATTTGGATGCTTTAAGTAAAAAAGAAATGTGATCCCCATCGCTAAGCAATAAGACAGAAGCTCAGGGTTTAGCGCTTACGTTCACAGCCAAGAACTTTACCTCTCTGAACCAATGTCTTTACCTGTAAAGTAAGGATAACGTTTTCCCTGCCTTCCTCACACCTCACAAAGGTGGGAGGTTTGAGCGAGGCAATATATGAAAAACAAAATTTGCAGATTGAAGGCTCTTATTCAACACAAAGCCTTATTATTTCAATGACATCTCACCAGAGGTCAGGATTCCTGACTCCCACAGGTAAACATGTGGACCTTTGGCGTCACCATCCTTTCATCATTCATTTTCTGAAACTGTCCAGTTTCCGGAATCATACACCGGGAGGTAAAGTTAAAATGCTATTTATGAGTGCTCTTTGTTCTCTAAGCTCTCATCAGTAGGAATCAGAAGGACTACAAATATTGTCATCTGCTCACCTCAGCTTTAGATGGAGGGAAACATCCCTGTGTGGCCAGAACAGCCCGTTTACATCTGTCATCCTGGCCCAGTGATGACAAATCCGGCCCCTCCTTTTCACTCTCAAAGTGTTCCAGTTTCACCAAGGATTTACATGCTCACCCTAGCTGCTTTAGGTAAAGAGGATTAGGTAGAATGCCTGACACAAAACAAGGCGCTACATAATTACCAAACCCATCAACACTCTTAAAGGATCCCAGTCCTGACAGGAATAGAAACCAAACTCAGCTGCTAACTCTTGAAATCTGTCGCCATCTTGTGGTCAAGAGCTGCTGCTCTGACAGGATCTGACAAGATCTTTTAACCTTTTCAGAAGGAATGGAGTAATGGACACAGAGTACAAAGAAAGAGTTAGGGGCTTGCAAAATACGTATTTCATTAACATGTACTTCTGTGTTTGTTGATTAAAGGAAACAATAACCATTTTTAGGAGATGCTCATAAGGCAAGAGTTAGGTCTCTGATTTTAGACTCAGATTCTGACTAAAAAACTGAATATACTCATATGCAACTTGCTATTGCTAGGATGTTATTTTGATGTAAGTTCTACCATAATTGAAATACTAATCCAACACAGTGGGGGTGAAGGTATTTAATCAAATAAATCCACCAACAAATGTTTGATTCTTGTCTGGGATCACACTACTGACAGAAAAGATGACTGTCCTATGTAACAAAAGAACTCCCAAGAAAAGGGGTGGAGGTGGGGTGGTTCAGAAAAGCTTCCCTGAGAAACTGACTTGTTTTATTTATTTATTTATTTTATTATTNTTGGCACCGATGTTCTTGTAGAGCACTGTCACCGTAAACTTTTTGCAACTTTTCACAACCTTGATGCATGTTCTTCCCTTTATGAAAGTAAAACAGTAAAATAGGGCAAAAATGCACAGTTTGGTCTTCCATCTTCAACTTCTTGTAAAATCTCCAAAACTCAACCAACTCACTCTTTTTTTTTTCAGAATGAAGCTAGAACTGTCAGCTATCAAATGACATAGAAATAATATAGATACAAATGACCCTAGTACTTCCAAAATTAAACTAGTGCCATCTGTCGCAAACATGCATCATGACTTTTCCGACAACTCAATAGCATTTTATGAAAACAAAAAACCAAACAGCTTTTCTAACCCTGCATTATACCAGGGCAAGATGTATGGCCAACTTTAAGAAATTTCTGGGTCTTTTTATTTTGTTTTTTCCTTACCACCTCTGAAAAACAAAAAAGGATTAACATAAACTCCTTCATACTAAAAGACTATCTTCAGAAATTTAACCCATTTCTCAAGTTTTTGCTTTCCATTAAGCTTGAATGCTGAGTGCTAACTGAACCACACCACAAATATATTTTGGTCAACTGTTTGTTTGGGTAAAGCACCCAACCTTGTAAAATAGGAGATGTTTTAATGATATTCCAAATTAGCAAGCCCTGTCTTCACCTAAAATTCTTTGTAAAAAAAGGCAAAGTGAATTAGTGAAGAGAACACTGGAGGAGTCAGGAGTCCCAGTTCTGATGGATTCAGAAAGCTACTGTGAGGATAACCTGAGAAGGTATCTAAGGGGCCTAAGGGGCCTGACACTGTGTTTGCATTTCANCACTAAAATTAATGCTTGAAACTTGTGTCACTGCTTTTTAATCCCTATAATCACATAAAAATAGAAAATTGCATCCAATAAGGAAATGAAGACAGAAAGATTAGGCCCCACTCTCAGCTGCTGGGGATCAAATATTTAAAACTAAAGTCATGCTCTGTAAATTCCCTTTTAGCATAAACAAAGGGCTGCGATGACAGCAGAGGTGTTCGTCAGGAATACCACTTGGAGCAGAGCTAGTGAACTATTAATAAGCAAGCAAAACTATCAGCATCAAGTATGAGGTACCAAACATAATTGCACACCATCGTAAAATAGAGGTGACATTCTGGGATGACTAGTTCTTTAGAAACAAAGGTTAAAAACACGAACTTGGAGGAATAAGTTGGCTTTGCAATTCACTCTTACACAAGGCAAGTGACACTTAAACAGGAAGGTTCTTTAATCCCTGTCTCTCTTCACTAATCACTCAGTCCAAAGTTCAGTGAAGACAAACATGGGAAAGAACCTGGCAAGAGTCATTTTACAGTGAGAAGTGAACATTTGCACCCACGGTTTTCCCTCAAAATCCATTTTCTCTGAGATCTTGTCACTGAACTACTGTTCATGAAGAAGTATTTTCTCCACAGCACGTGCCTTGAGCATGAAGTCGTCCCACACAAGGGAGTAACCGATCATACTCTTCCTGAAGTAGAAGATAGTTCTGAGATTCCTAAATTAACTACTCTAAAGTCTTGAATAGGCTACCAAAAAATGTATCTCACAGAGGATAACTATTTTGACATCATAAGAGTCAGAATTAAGTTTCCCAATAAATAATTGCTATCCCAGAAAAAATAAATTCACAAACTATTTTTGATTTCGTCTAAGAAAACATCAGTTGTAAGATGCACCATTTGTATGGCTAAGAGAAAACAGGTAATTAAACTATGACACGATGTTTTCGTAACATGTATAACGTTTATTTTATAGTTATCGAAATAGAACTTAAACAGATTTTTACCACATCAATCTTGTGCATAAAGTGTAGGAAATAAACTGGTTAAGTTATAACTATAGCTTCATATTCTGAGTCCAACTCTTCTGAGTCACTTAAATCCCAATCATAGATATCTGCGCGCTTCTGCCCAACAGCACCTGTGGTGTCACCAAGCGTACTGGTGACGCAGCACTTCCTGGAGGAGTGCTCTACCACTGTCTTCTGGTTGAGGTTAGCAGGAAGCTTTGACAGCACAGCGTTTGACACCTTAATGACAGTCCTGCTTGATGCATAAATCGGTGACAACAGCCTCTCATTGCTTTGAACTGCGTTTCATCTATTCCAAGGGTTTTGGCAATTTCTCCCCCCTTCAACTGCATCACTTGGCGTGTGACAGGCAATCCTTTGACACATGTCTCAGTGACAAAATGTAGTGCAGCTTCATCTTCTTGTGGGTATCTCCCCTTCTTAGGTCCTGTAAGACATTTTGTTGTTGCTTGACAAGAAAATATGGAATTGCAGTCATTCCTCCAGCGACAGATATTGGCCTAACATCAAATGTACACCCTGCTGCTGTGTCCATGCTTTTCTGCATACACAATAACTTTTCCTTTCAGTGCTGAAGTATAGTGTAATCTTTTAGAAGACATTTTTAAATGCCAATTAAATCTGACACATTTGATACCGACAATACACAGATGATGCTATGACAAGCTGTAAGTTCATATATGCACAGGCTGGGATAATTACATCAACTACTGCCTGAATGGCAGTAATCCTAAGATGCATCCCCATTTCAGACAAGTTAAAATGTTGTGGGGTGAAAAGTACATTATAAAACCAGGAAAATACAATTTTTCAAGACTGTAATGTTTAACAGATTCACACAAGTGCAAGAAAATAAGCCCAAGAGTCAAGGAATAAGTAGATAAGTAAAAGTAAGTAAAGCAAAAGGTTGTTTTTAAGATGAAATTTGCAATGGTCCGATTTGGTTTTAATTCCCTTTATTTTCATATGGCTTACGTGTAAATCTTTATTTTAATTGGACTTAACATCCAATTAAAACAAATGTTCTTCAATATTTGAGCAAATTGCAAAGCCAAGTCATTAAAGACGGGCTCTGGCTGCCTTTCATCCTTCACTGACAGAGCAGAAGCTGGGGTCAATGGCCCTCATCCGCAGGCGCCCTCCGCTGGCGAGCAGATCTGATCCTGTGTGGAGACAATGAAGCATCCTCTTCCGTTTCAGACCCTGAAGGCTCAGGATCTCCCTCCTGGGATCCTGTGTCTCCCACCAGTTCCCGCAGAAACTTGAATTTCGATAAGAAAAGATGCCACACAAAATACCAACCTAAAGAGAGAGAGAGACAAAAACATTAAGAAAAATTATTACACACAATGTTACCATTGTGTAACATTCCAGTTAACTGGGGTGGGGGGGGGTAATATTACAAAATATGTATGATGTAAATAAATATATGTGTGACTACAAATATATATTTACATAGCAAATGCTTACTAGCATTTACTATGGACAAGACATAAGGATAAACTCTGGGATTATACAGGGATGGCAAAAACAGTTTCTGCCTTTACAGAATTTAGAAGTCAAGCTCGGTCCATCTACATTAAAATTACGAGCTGATACCTAAATAAAAGTGTTTATTATATTAAAATAAAATTTTTGAGAGCATTTTTTGGGGTAGAAAAAATACACTTTGCTGTTTACTTGGGTATTCATACCTCAGTGCTAGTATTTACTAAAAGCAAGTTTTCTTCAATCAGAATGAAAAACACATACGTGGCAGCTATCAACTGCACTACAGCGAAATCTTCTCTGTCAGGACCAAGCTATTACTAAATTTCTAGAAATAAAATTTTCACAGAAAATAATAAATTTTCTTTAATTACGTGATGAAAAAATAAAGCCAGAGCACCAGNCCACTGAAATTAATGGTTTCCTACCTCAAACTGGTTTTCAAAGGCATTCTTCAATCTTTTTTCTTGGCTTTGGTCAGTTTCCTCAGTCTTCCTGGTGGTTAATACTAACAAAAATGTGACATAATCTATGGTATAGAATATCAAAACAATACTGGATAAAGTTTAAGAAATAAAAAGGCTAAACATGGTAAATGTACTTCAGCTCTAATGCAATATGTCCTTCAGGTTCTATGTCAGTTATTGTCACGGCATTCAGAGTACTACTACTGCTATCTTGTCTTAATTCTTAGAGATTTTTGGAGCTTGAAGAATGAAACGAAGGGTGGACCACTGGGAAAAAATGGGTGCTTTCAAATGGGACACTTCATGTCCAAAGTATCCTTCATATTTATTATACTTTATCAATGAAACAAACACACACAACTTGTCTTCATTTTAATTTATTCTGTGCAGTTTAAAGTGAAAGTTAAAACATCATATCAACAAACCACAGAAGCTTTAGATATAGTATTGACCAGTTTTAAAACAAAAACAGTGAATGATCACTGACACACATTCCTCATCTCTATTATTACATCTTAGTATACGAAAGTACTATTAACGCACACAATTCTAATTCCTTATAAACTTATTTGTTAAGCAGCAAGATGGCAACGCATCAGAGCACAGCATAGAACGTTTCCTTTAAGAAACCACAGCAGCAGTATTTGGTGAGTGGTTATGCACAAAACTGACCTGGAAGGTAATGCCAAACATTGGTCATAAAACTGGCAGCACATGTATATTAACAAAGGAAAAATGTAACTTTTATTAAGATAAAATGTTACTCTTTATTCTTTAAGTTAAAAGCTATAAGATGCTTTTGAAGCAGACAATACAAGGTGCTTTAATTCTAGATAACAAAATACTATTCCATTAACTGCTTGAGAGTCTCTAATCTTTGAGGACTGCTCAACGGCTTTTTAAAGTCAACTTCAAATATAAAAGTTTACCAGTTAAAATCTAAAGTTACATTGGTTACATGTTACATTAAAACATAACTTTTCAGAAAAACTGACTTCAAAAAATACTGCATAGTTGACTTAATTTCAAAGAATGTTACTCTGAAAAGTAAATATGCACTACTTTCACATCTTTCAACACATTTTGGTTTAATATGCCATATTTGTGAAACCATTACTTAATATATTCCCAACTTTCAACGAAATAGTTTGAAGCTATTTTTAAACCTAATAATATCTAAAGAAATGGGTCAACACACGTGTGAATTGGCTACCCACCTAATCACGTATTTATGTTTCCACCATGAAAACAATACTACAAAATCCACTGGGTGGTTTTTAACTTGATGTAAATACTAAAAAAAAAAACAACCCTCATTTACCAGTGCTACAAAAATATTTAGTGTTTTTTGGCATTTAAGTCAGATCAATGCTACCAATACATTTGATACTGGCAATTTTCACAAGAGTTTTTTAGAGGCAAAGAGAAAGATATGGGAATGGTTGGTTGGGAAGGAAATGAAAACCACCTACCAGTCCTCAATTTTAGAATTACTCCTCAAAAGATGGCATACTTGATCAACATTATTGTTAATGAGTATTCTGACCAAACTAATACTTGTATGCATTCTTAATATTCAGAATGTTGTAAACTTTAAAATTAACCACAAGCTAATCCATCTCCCACTGAGAAACTGAAAATGCCCTTAGGAAGTTCTAGTAAGTTCAGCTACAAAAGCTCCAAAACAGGAAAAAGAACGTAAACACTGTACCACACAAATAATTCTGTGTTAACAAGTATTTCTCTTGCCTCTCTTAGTGGCCATAGAAATATGTACTNTCCCAAGCTAACTTTTAACCAACGTGCCACTCGGCTGGCCCTCAACTGACCTTTTCAATGAGCTAAGCAACTACTGGACCAAGTTGTCATTAAGAAGATTTCTGTGGTTACAAAGGAGAATAAGAAAAGAAGAGAGGGAGATGAAGTTATGGGTTGCCTACCATATATTAATGTTATTTAACAGGTATGTTTAAAAATTCACTCCTTACAATAATCCTAGGCATTATCATTCCCATTTAGCACACCAAGAAAGAGGTTAAATAAATTGCTGACTGCCAAGTTAGAACACTTGGGTAGGAATTCATTTTTCCTAACCTATATCCTCAAATCCAGAATGTCCATTTCCACTGGTCTTACATGCATCTTGACTTCTCCTCAAACATGTTCCAACCATGTCCTCATCAGCCGTCTATCAATGATTCAACCTTGTCCTTAACCTCCCATATCTGATCAATCGCCAAACCCTGTCAAATTGACTCATCAGTATCTACTCAGTTTGCCCCTCTGCCACCAGCTTGCACAGATTCACATAAGCTTTTACATGGACTTCTGCAAGTTTCCTGTCGCCACATGTCTTAACTCAGGTCTGAGCAACATCATTCTTCAGTATAGATCAGTTGAACACTTTGCTCTTCCTTCACGTTCTGCCTTCATTTTGCTTTTAGCACGTTACTTTCTTCTAGGCATGTTCCTGGTTCTCCTGCAAGTCCATCTCAATGTCCTTAATGACCTCTTTTTCTTTTCCCAGCCACTTACATACCCTATTTTCCCCAAAATAAGACCTAGCCGGAAAATAAGCCCTCGCATGATTTTAGGTGCCAAAATATGGCACTTTGGCATACTGAATATTTTAAGCTAAGGAGTTTGTGGAAAAGGCACCCTTCTCCCTGAAACGGGTCATAAAACCCTCATGTGAGCGGTGTGCCCCCTCCATATCCTGGAGGAATCATGCTAGGGCTTCTTCTCCGGCTCGCTCTTATTTTCGGGGAAACATGATATTGATGCTCCTGAGGGGCCACTTTTGTCTCTTCTTATTCCAGTTCTGGCAGGTCCCATTTTTGCCTACAGCTTCACCTGCATTCACACTGATGATCATCAAGTCTGTTTTCAACCATCCCTCGGATTTTTACAGCTGTTTCGTATTTCTGTCCACCTAGTGGCCTATAAGCACCTCCAAATCGAATACACATGCTTGAAACTAGACTGTCTTCCATCTTCCATCCACCTGTGGCTGGCCTCTCACCTACTTCTATATCCATCCCTCAGTGTTATCAGTTTCAAACTGAAATGTTGAAATCATCCTTTACCTATCCTTATCTTTCACCGGCCTACACAACCCAATCTCCAATCTTGTTGACTCTTCATGTCTTCAAACTCCCCAAGGTCGTCACTCCAGCCTGCTACTGGCTTTCCATTTTCTTGCTTGGACTACAGTGAGACACTCTGTTTCCAGTGAGCCTCCAAATCGATCCTGCAGTTCGCCCGAGCTTTCTAAACCTAGCCCAGGTGCCTGCAGGAGAGCCACTCAGTATGTGAAACAAGTCAATCAATGCTCTCACTTAATTTAAAATATTTCAGTGCTCTCAATCACTAACGGCAGGCACTTCGAAGCCCTGGGCACTGCTGACAAAGTCTTTTGTGGCCTAGCTCTTTCCTACTTCTCCAGCCTCACATCACTGTCCCCCATAATCACGCTCTATTCCAGGAATAACCAACTATCTACCGTTCTCCAGACAAGTTGCCTTCCCGTGACTCTGACTTTGCACAGGCTCTTTCTTCTGTCTGGAATCAGCTTCTCATCAAGAAAACTCCTACTTCTCCCTTTCAGATTCTTAGAGAAGCTTTTGTGGTCCTTCCCTTTTTTCTCCTCCCCCAAACAAAGTTCTCAATAAATAACATCACTTTTATAACTGAAATGCTTATTTGTACATAACAATCGCACACCGGCCTGTAGAGCTGAGGGCAGGATAAAGAGAAAACATGCTCACAGATCCGCAAGAACATTCCTCTTTCATTTTCAGGATACTCCTTCCTCCTTTTAAGGGCCACACCTGATATCCCAGACCCTGAGATTAGTCTCCCAAGTCCTGCTCCCCAGATCGTGGTCATCTCCATCCCAACTCCAGCCATCATGTATTAGCGACCATGTTAATTTGTCACAGATCAAGCCCAAGTTCTCAGGTTCCCCTTTTCTATGGCTGTATTTAGTGTCACTGCTCAGAACTGCTTCCCCTCTAAAATCCTAGTCTCCACCCCAAACTTCCTTCTATGCATTAGATACAAATGTTACACTCACTTTATCTTTAATCTCTACCCTTTCCCATTCACCCAGTTTATCAGTGCCTTAATGATCTGACTTCTCTTACAATGGAGCCCAAATCCCAGAGCCAATCTCCAGCAATCTCTAATGACCCTGTCTTTAGACACTGCTACCTTACAAAGCCCGATCCTGACACAATCAACTTTTTCCCATCCATTCTTAGCAGCTGAGCACTGTTGGAGAAAAAAACAAAACTGGGCCCCCAGTATGTGGCTTTCCAATTTTCCCAGCACCATTTATTGAAGACA